CGGAAGTCACGTGACGCTGGTAACACGTGATGAGATTCTAGAAGGATCGGGGAACCTCACGAATGTCCCAGCGTTTGCTAGACGCCCTCTATTTTGGTATATAAGCCGGCAGTTAAATTGATAACGGAGATAATCGAGTCAGGCCGTAAGTAAACTGTGTAAATCATTGTGAATTATAGCGAGTGTTTAAGTTAAAGTCACTGTGTATTGCAAGGTTGTATTGAGGAAGAATAAACTAGTTTTATTTGAGAAAGAACTTGTATCGCTGAAGTTCGTCGGGAAGAATTTTTACGGGAAATTAACAAACGACCAGAGACGTAACAATATTATTTTTTAAAACTGACAAATGTGAAAGCTCAACTTATATACAAATTAAGTGTATTTCTTTGGGGTTCAGTGTATAGGATGACCTCTATTGCCAAGCAAATCTAGGATGTTACTTTTATAAAGAAATTATTAGAAGTTATTTTTAAGATATGCTAACCAGCGCTCTAGTCTAATCAATACAATCACAAGTGTTGTTTTTTATGCTCTTCAAACGCTACAGACAGTTCAATGCGGCATATCTTAAGTCACAAACATGTTATACATAATTTTACAAAGTTTTTCACCACAGTTTAGCTTCTTTTTCTATTACAAAAAAAAAAAACAACGACTAAACTTTAAGATATAGTGATCTATTATAAAAACGTGTTTGCAAAATTAGTGTAGTTACAGAAACCTTTTATACAATATTAGCAATATTTACGTATGAAGCACGAGATCAATACATTTCAAATCATAAATGTCAATTAATTGTAACTAGCATGTGAGATAAATAATTTCTAGTTATGAAGAATCGGGACAAATGATACAATTACAAATATGTTATTGTAACACAGTAGATGGCATGATGTCAACACACTTATGCAAAAAAAGCAAACAAAAGTAAAAGAAACAACGTACTTTTGATTAAATATGCTGTTAACTAGAGAGTTACTGCGCTATTTTCGAACCTGTGTATAAGACGAGGGGTGAAATGATGCATTGTTTTAAGAGTAAAAAGTATCGTCTTGTACGCTGGCAAATACAGTATCATTTCCTGCACTTCTTTAGGATATAAAGCATCAGATGAAGGTAAGAATGAAAGAGAAAACAACATTATAAGATAGGGATTAGAAAGATATCTGTCAAGGTTATTGATCAGTTAATGATTATACGTAGAATGAGGTGAATGCAATTATATTAAGTATTTTAAGTATGAGAACAAAAATGGATGACACAATGTCACCCATGTGGTCTTTATAAAGTTAATATATTTCTGGTGTGGGACTTATGATTAAAACTAAAATCTGTGCAATTGGCTACTGCATCATTCAATGTTAACAAATAGGTTAAATAATCAAAACATTTGTAAGAATCATATTATAGAGAACATAAAATTTCCCCATCTTTATTTGACGTTGTTTGAAATTAAGCGCTAAGCTACACAATGAGCTATTTGTGACCTGCCCACCAGGGGTATCGAAATTCGGTTTCTAGCGTTGTAAGTCCACAGATGTACCGTTGTGCCACCGGGGGCAATTTTCATTTGAATCCCCCCGTTTAAGAAACATTTCCCCACTCACATTTTCACATGAAACCTTTCTCCTCCTCCTCCCCCTCTCCCACAAATGTATGATTTTCCGTCAGGTATGATGATGCATATCTTCTATAAAAGGGACAGTCTGAAATTAGATTAAAAAAAATCTATTTAATGGAGGGCTATCTGTGATGTTGTGTATTCAATACGTGATTTAAACAATATCTTTTTTTTTGTTTTGTTTAAACTAAGAACTATTACTACATGTACTTGCGTAGGGATGTGTTCTGTTTCAGGAGTACGTAGAATCAAAATTAAGAGTAACAAATATTTTTATTTATTGCTTTTGAAGTTCATATGTCATGCCTACAGAGTGCATAATTCTTCCCGTGATTCATGGCATGCGTACGTTTTACTTACTATTGTAATTTTAAGCGTCCCTTATGGGACGTCTTTTTTTAGTGTCTACTGACTGACTGACAGACAAAACAATACTGTATAGTGGTGTGAGTGGTTAAAACAAGTGACCCTTTCGGAAAAAGTATACTATATAATAATGAAGCATATTACAGCCAACAAATCATTATTTGTGTTATTTTTGCACAGCACCTGGGTATTTAATAAAACTCAGAATCTTTCGTTACTTATATTTTTTATTTTGATTATTATTAGCTGACACACTTTCAACGCACGGGGAAAACGTATTGGTTTCCATGGGTGTCAAAGGAGATTCATTTATGAACGCTGACCCTCTATGCCACTCCGAGGGCTCTAACGGTACATGCCCATTTTTGTGGCAATTGATCCAGTTGTTCACCAGTTATAATTGAACTCACACGCAAACTTTTTTTTTTCGAATAATGGTTTAGATTAGTTGGATTTATGTTAAATAAGGGTGCCTACAAAGATCTGGTAAAACTGTTAGCAGTTGTTAATATTGGAATAATAATATTCCCTTAAGAATTACACAGTACTAATATTGGGATAATAATAGTGGTACCATCATATCTACCTACCTGCTTTACATATTCCATTATAATTACATTGTACTAATTAAGTGCAAACATTTCAGGTTAACATTAGTTTCAATTCTTCGACATTATTATTAATTCTCCTGTTTGATATGTTACTTAAATCTCAGTGACCTGGCCTGTGATGAATTGTTTTTATGCCACCAATACAGGGTCCTTCCAGCGTGACACAATGCGTTCTTCTCAATAAAGCAGTAGAAATACGACAAAGCTGGAATCCGGAAAAGAGCAGAAAGAACGAGCTCGTTAACATAGTAAGTATATATAAACCGACATATTTTAACTTGCCGATAAATATTTTGTTATTCAAATATAGCAATAATATTATACCATTATCTGATTATCGTGTATGTCAATAAATTATGAAATGTGTAGTGTATACGTTGGGCAAAAAAAAATAAAATAATAATAGAACACTTTCAACGCATCAATACCAAACCATTATTTTAATCCTCACCCTCCGAATAAAAAAAATGTTAGTACATAATTTATATGAAGTTATTTAACAACTGTCGAATTCTGATCTAAATACTACAGTAAACAACACACGAAACTTTACGATCAAGAGGGTGGGGTTTTCGCGGCAAATGTTACTTTCTTCAGCGTTTTATATGATCCTTAACACATGTGGCACATTCTGGCCATCCAGAACGCATAATAGGGGCACAATATGATCGATAGTGTGTTAAGTACTAATCACTGGGGAAATACCACGGAGAAGGCCGTACTTCGACAGCTGGAAACGGTATTTTAGAAGTGTGTGTGTGTGTGTGTATATATATATGGTTCCTGAAGAAGGCGATATTTCCATAGTGTTTATAAAGCATTGAAGCACCTGATATTCCATCTTGGTCTGTAATTATTTAGTCTCTCAAGGTTTTCGGGATGTTCTTATTTTACGATCATTTATGAAGAAGAAAAAAAAAGTATACAGCTCTTACATATAAAAAGGCACCTCGGATGAAGATGCATTGTACCAGTACACATAATTCAAACATTTGGATGATAAAATTATTCAGATACTGTAAGGAAACTGGCAGCATGTGCCGCTGCTATACGGGCTTTGTCCGGCTCTTGGAAAGGATTGACTGTCATTGCTATAATACGCTACGCCAACAACTGAAAGTGCGGAGCGTGTTCATTGGCCTCACGTCTCGAACCTTGTATCCTTCAACCCACATTCTGACACGCAAACCAGTAGGTCACACCCGACATAGATATCTGTTAATAAGGTCAGCTGTGTGTTTCATCTAGGGTGAAATTGCGCTCCATTAGATTTTCACTATATTACTAAGCGCACATTGAGGCAGAGCGGCTATGACACACTGTACCTTCGTCATCCTCATTATTATAACCCTTTGTAACCACAAATCCTCGTTCTAACACCACGTGTTTTGTATTACGAATGTTTTGATTTCTTTTTATAGTTATTTATATAACATAGAATACATTTACCCCATCTTGTTTTAGGTCTATGACGTAACCTTTTCCATGAAATGTGCAGGAAACTAATAGACCTCTATTCCCAAAACATTTTAGAGCTTCTTTGGAATGTTCTGTAAATTTCTTGAACATTCTGTAAAGACCTATATAAGCCGACGACAAACCTATGTAATCAAGTAGACATTCTACTAACGTTGATTCTGTTACACATCTCGCTTCAAGGTTGAACGTCGGGATACAGTGATTCAAATTGAAGAATATTCAGCAGAAAAAAAACTACGTTTCATTTGAGCTTGGCCCGGCATGGCCAGGTGATTAAGGCACTCGACTCGCAATCTGAGATTCGCGGGTTCGAATCCCTCTCACACCAAACATGCTCGCCCTTTCAGCCGTGGGTGCGTTATAATGTGACGCTCAATCCCACTATTCGTTGGTAAAAGAGTAGCCCAAAAATTGGCGGTGGGTGGTGATGACTAGCTGCCCTCTCTCTAGTCTTACACTGCTAAATTAGGGACGGCTAGCGCAGATAGCCCTCGTGTAGCTTTGCGCGAAATTCAAAAACAAAAACAAATCATTTGAGCCAGAATGTGAAAATTAAGCGCGAATGCGGAGACGTCAGCGAAGAGATACTGGTGATACGATTCAATTCCTCAACTTCTGTAATAAATTGTGTTAAAAAAATCGTTTTTTTCTTTGAGTATTGAGATTTTTTTTATCAGTTGCCTAACATATATTCAGTTAAATATGTTTTTGGGCTGGGGTGCGAATACACACCAGGTGGTATATGTAAAGTGAAAATAATGTGGTATACGGAGGGTTAATAATTTAATACTGTTACGTCTCTGCTCGTTTGTTAATTTCCGGTATAAATTCTTTTCGAGGAACTTCAGCGATACAAGCTCTTTCTTAATTAAAGCTAGTTTGTTCTTTCTCGATACAACTTTGTAATACACAGAATTTCCACAGTCACTCTAAACTTAACAACCTTTATAATACACGCTATAAATCACGGCGATTCACATACTTTACTTGCACCCCCACAGTACGCTTGACTAAATTATCTATCTCTTCAATCTATCTATCTATATCGCTGGCTTTCTTTAA